CACACCTCCAAGGTGCCATTCCAGCACACGCCAGTTGGTTAAAAAACCCAGATAAACATCAAGGCTTGCAATCTCCAGTTGCGTAAAGGCAGCTTCGTCTACTTCTTCCCCTTGATTAGTTGGTCTCTAGCAGACACACACAACAATGTTGTCCTTCCAGCCTCTGATTTTTAGGCACAAGCTATCAGCTGGCTCATCACTCTCTCCGAGGCAAAGCTACGTGCATTTGAGTCAGCCCTCTGCATACAGCATGACCCTCTTCCGTGCCTCCCTGCCCCGTCCTTCCGAAAGAGCCTGTATCCATCCCTCGGAGCATCCCGAGACACCTCTGCAATCCCAAAGGCCTCACAGCTCTACATGCCGACTTCTAATTCCTCCTTGTTTCCTATGCTGGTAATATTAATTCACATGCAGAATACCCTTGCTTGGATATAAACTATTTTTCGTGAAAAATTTAAGTTGAAAGGAATGGATAGTTCCACGGCAAAAAATCTTGACGTGGTACTACTGGATACCAACAGCCTATTCAGTTCATTCACTTCAAGATCTCACTCCTACACAAGTCACGAGGATGGCGCCGAACAGCAACCACTAACTTCTGCAGCGTAAAAGCACAAAAATCACGCAGCGTACTACACTGACTTTGGAATTTTGAAGGTGATACAGTGCATCTCAAATAACGTTCTGAAATTGTTTTCTAAATAACGTGGCATATTTGTTTACAGTCTATGATTCTTCTTTATACAGCATTCAATAATCGCTCCTTTTTTTTTCTGGTGCCTGAGTACTTGTCAAATGCCTATCACACAGGGGCGACAGGGAACCATCTGCCTTCCTCCCCCAAAGGCACCTCCTTTTACTTATTACCACCTGTTCTTTTTTCAGTCCCCAAATGGCAATTCTGAGCAATGCCAGCTACGCTGGAAAAGGCCAGGTTACAGGTCCCGGCTGAATTTTTCACTCTTGTCACTAGCATTTAACCTCCACGAAGAAAACCCAAACGTAGCCATTACTGAGGTTTTCCCAGACCACACAAAATAAGGCTGTAAAAGCAATGACAAATAGCTTTGTTATAATTGAGCATATTAGTCTATCTGATCCATAACCGAGACGGTCAGAGGCTGACCTGTCAGGATCTCACTGTAAGTAAAAGCGGATGGTTTTGCGTAAAACGGGAGAGGGGACAGATTTTTGAGGTTGCCGAGAAAGTCATTCCCAAAGCACGACTAAGGCTTTTCCTTCTCACTGGGCTACGCAGGAGTCCTCGGCGGTGGCATCTGCAGGATTTAAGACAAGACTGTCTATCTCTTAAGCAATGAGGCAAAGAGAGGAGCACCAAGACTGCCCAACGCTGGCAGAGGGCAACTGCAGAAGAATGCAGTAACTGAGGTACTTCCCTTTCCTTAGGTCGTTCTTAAATTCTCCCTCAAAGGCAGAGCAGGCAAAATTCCCAAAGGTACTTAACCTCCTGGGGAAGGACGCTATCTGAGAAACAGGGACACAATTTCAAATTTTAAAGTATTTTGAAAGCAGATGGGATGCTTTCCGAATCTCTTGCAAAATTCTACTTGAAGTACAGGGGATACTGGTAGAAGAGCATTTAACTCGGACCATTTAACTGAATCCTACTCCTTCTCCTCCCCCTTTCAACCTTCTCAATTACAAACAGTTGTCCTAAAATCTCTCCATGCCACAATTCTCTTCTATATATTGCACAAAATGCAGAAGTTATGGATTCTGCACAGCCAATCCGAGTACAGTCTTTCTTTTTTAAACTTATTAAGAGACAATGACAGAATTTGAAAATAAAGAAGACAATCCGATAACCCTTCAAATTACTCTTTTTTAGCCAGTCAACTCTTTGTTTTAATATTTTTCACAAATAACTTCCACATATATTGTGAGCTTTTCAGAATTAACCTCCTATTAAAAAAAACAAAACCAAACAACTCGAAACTTGTGTCTCATCAACAATTATATTAAGCTTATTCTAGCAGATGAGAGTCTGCACTTACACTGATCTGTGTAGCTACGCACAACATACACTCACATACACTCACACACTGAAACTGTCACTGGGCAGAAGGTGAATCACCAAAACACTACCTGTGAAGTCCGACACCGGTCCAAATACAGAAGGCTTTTGTTGTAGAGGATAATCGCGTTTGCATACTTTACATCTATTGTATTTAAAAATTATGCTACCTTCTAAGACCGAAGAAAACATAGATGTGGTATTTTACTTTCAAGACCACTCCAAACCCCTTAGGGTACACCTCAGTAACGCTACGGATGAAACAGGATCGTTCCAGGCACCAAAACCCAACACGCTGGAAAATTTCCATATGAAGGGTTTAGATTGCAACAAGTTGATGCACAGAAGAGACAACTAAGTTCTGACCTAGCATGTAAAGCGCAAACAGTTTTACTGGTTTATTTGTATTTAACCTTCCTCAGCATATCTCCCTCAAAGTCAGAGTAACTCTGCCTTTTCCAACTACGCAAACTCACCTCTGAGGGCAGCCAACTACCCCTTTCCTCGTTGTCAGACCACAATCAATGCTGCAGTCCACTGAGAGATGCTCACGCAACAGTCTTGGTCTTCAACACCGACCCATCAAGAACGCGCGTGGCCTCTCTGAGAAACACCATGAGGCTTCTACTTTCTAATATAAATTTAATTTATTAAAGAGCAATTGGATATGATAAGGAAAAGGGCTAATGGGAAATAGTTTGCAAATAGCCAGATGTTTGCCAGTTCCATTTAGGAAGGAGAAAACAGCAAACAGCAAGGGAAGGGACATACTGCTAAATGGGAAGAAGAACTTTGATGAAAACTTAATCAACATTTTTTACTGAAATTAACTTTTCCAATTGGCAAAGTAGGTATTTCTCATGATCAGGCATGAATTAAAAGCTTTCTGTATTAATGACTGCAGCGTTCGGAATAGTTTTTGCTCAAACTAGTGTTTTTAATTTTCCTATCAAGATGTCTGTCATGAAAGAACCACTGTGTAGGATACCTTCACCAAAAATGTTTCCTTCTTTGCCACTCATATATTCTGATAAGGTATTAAAATATGATCTCAAATACCTGTATTTTCTTCGACTGTGTATATGATACCGGTTTTCATATATCGTAACTGAGACACAGCGCATTCATTCCTAGTTGCGCTACTCGTTATGCCACTACTCAACAACAACAACAACAAATACAACGCGCTTTCAGTGATGTACCATGTGGTTGTCTCTACTGTTGGAAAACAACTAAAATGAATCAGTGTTACACAGAGAGTGCATTGTTAAAAACACTGCAGGCCATGTAACAGCTCGATACGGCTTCGAGGGGGGTATCTTTACACCCAAAATGAGACTCCGCCAACACCGCGTCCATACTCCTTTGGCAGCATGCAAAAGAAAAAGGACAGCATTATAAGGCAAAGTCCTCGAGTAGAGCAGGCCAGGTCGCCAGAGCAGAACAGGACGGAGAAACCACTGGGCAAACAACAGGGGAGGGAAAGGAAGAAGGGTGAGACCACAGGAACTAAAATAATAACAGTAACAGTAATTTATAAACCGCTACTGGGAACTGGGTGACTCGGGCAGGGCTTCAAAGCCCAAGTATATTAATTATGCAGTATTCTTCAATCGTGGAAAATATGCAATAATGCTTCTGCTTGAAAGATTTGGAAATGACTTTGGTGATTCATGCATATAGCAGAAAGAAAGTTACTTTTAATAATTTTTCTGGCAACCTGATGACAGTAGGCCATTGCTGGATCCGGATGCCTAACGCTACTCGGAGGTTGAAAATCCCACGGCTCTGTAGTATTAAAGCTACTGAATCCAGTAGAGGGCACCTTTCATTCCCCAAATAACTGTGCAAAGTGCATGCATCCCTTCAGCCAGCAATGACACGTACCCACATCCAAGCGAGATTTCAGCAGAAGTTATAAGTGCACAACTACTCTACAAAACAATCAGAAAAGAAAATCTCTCTCTTTATGGCACGCTCGTAACTGTTTACTCTCTGTACGTTGAACGGCAAAACCAGGTCTAGCGGATTCACATCTGTTAAAATTGCAAGTGTGAAGTTACATCATGCCTCTGACCATACGTAAGATTGGTTCTCCCAAATCCTTTCCATCCCAATTGAAAGAAATTAGAATTTTGAAACACTAGTCTAAAAAGACAGGCAACACAAAAGCCCCCCAAAATACAGCATTAATATTTTTCTCATCTGACTTGTCTCATCCCTCTTACTATTGGTTTTCTTCCTTGTGCTCTTACAAATTATTTTTAAGGACTGTGTGACCTGAAAAGGCAAAACAAGCTGATGCCTTAGCAACGATATTTGTACTGCCTTTTTTTCTGGAAGATAGTAGTTCTTTAATCGTTACAGCAATTATTCTCTTTTAAACATCCAAAATACGCAATGCAGGGCACTGCAAGAAGGTGAGCACTGTTAGTAATTCCACTGACTGGAGCACAATAACAAATATTTATTTTAAACTGCAGCTGTAAAAAATTTTTACAGTCGCGGTTTGCAGAAAGGACAAAGCTTACTACTTTTTTAACTAACAGCAGAAAAAAAGCTTCTGACACTGGAATGACTTTGGTGTAAAATACTTCATTTGCAGTGCGCTCTGTAATTGCTTATTTTTCGCTTTTGTAATTGCAGCAATTGTTTTCATTTCGGCTATCCTGTTATTGTTTTAAAATCTCAGCATGCAACAGTAATTCAGATTTCTGGCTAGGATTTACTATTGCACCGAATATTTTCTACATATTTTCCAAAATACAAGGTGAATCCTATAGAACTCCTTAATTTCTCCTAAGTAACTTTAAGCATATAGAAGACGACACTGAACCACTCATATGGTTTAAAAAAAAAATAAAAATCCTACTCCGAGTTCTAGATATAACACATCATCTGGATACAGTCCCTTGAAATTGCTCCTCCCCATCTTTTGGCACCGTACTGTCCCTGTTTGTCTTACCAAGGTCAAGTATTATCAGCTGGGCTCCAGCCTGTGCGTTTCCAACATCATTTTCTGCAATGCACTGATAGAATCCTTCGTCTGATTTCACCAGCCCCAAAACTTGCAGATTATGTTCTTTCTGAGGAGTGAAGGAAAAACACAACACTTAAAAATGGGTTGCAATTGCAAAAACAACGGTGTTATTACGGTACATTACTGCGACAGGAGAAACTTCTGAATAGTAACATGGAAAAGTATATTTGCAGTTCCCATCTGATTCCATCTCTTTTGCACTGAATCCTCAAATTATACGGTATCAAAAAGCAGAAGCTCTTACTAATGGCTATCATTTTCTAGCATCACATATCACTGGCAAGTCATAACATTTCCAGAGCCATTTTTATGATATTTTAAGCACTGACTATAACTGCATAGCGCACTGTTACAATCCTACAACCTCAAGTACACCCAATTACACAACCATTAAGTTCTCAACCGCGTCTCAAGAACAACTTTCCC